GGGGTGGAGAGGGTGGTCGGGGTTATCCAGAATAGATAACAGCTTGTTCAGAGTCCTCCCCTCCACCACCGCTTCCATGGTGTCCGGTTTGCAGCCGATTACGGAGCCAGCCTTCCTGATCAGTTTGTTCAGTCTGTTGGTATCGCTGGCTCCGATGCTTCCTCCCCAGCAGACTACAGCAGAGAACACTGCACTGGCAACAACTGACTGATAAAAAATGTTCAACATCTTGCTGCACACGCCGAAGGATTTCAGCTTCCTCAGGAAGTAGAGTCTGCTCATCCCCTTCTTGTATACAGCCTCGGTGTTGATCCTCCAGTTCAGTCTGCTGTCAATGTAGACGCCCAGGTAATTATAGTCAGTGGCGTAGCCGTCATTTTAAAAGTGGGGGGGACAAATTGTTCAGAGGTCTCTTGAGTGATTTATCATCCTCTCACATTCAGTTGCACCTCTCCTTCGCAGGTAAAGAACCACATAACCACAAACAGCACAGCACCAAGGAACCAACTTTATTTAAAAAAAAATAATGATAATAAATGATATACTATCAAAGTCAAAATCTAAAATCTAAAGCTGCCAACTCTGGTTGAGTTGACATAGAATGACCCGGGGCATCTACACGGTGCATGGCCAGATAATGAAGTGCCAGATGAAAACACTGAACACCAAAAGTTCTGTAAAACACCATTCCTGTTTAAAATGATCAGCACCAGAGCACATGTTCTGTACAGAAATGAAGGAGTGGATTTATAATCAGCTCGCTTAGCTAACTAAATTGACATTTAGTTAGCTAAGCTAGCGAGTTAACCTAGCTAACTTAGGATGACAAAGTCCTCTTCAAAGTCTTTTAGCCAAAGTCTTGGGCAATAATATCCCATATGAAATATCTTTGTATTAGCTCAACATTATCACCATGCTCACTGGCTGTCTGTCTCTCACATTGAAGCCAGTGATTTCCCTCATTCCAGTCCACACACCTCTCGTGTTGTTCCGTTCGAGTTTGGCCTCCAACTTCCTCCTGTAGGAGTCCTTGGCCCTCCTCAGCTCCACCTTCAGGTCTTGCTGTAGCCTCCTCATTTCCTCCTTGTCCCCAGACCTGAAGGCCTTCTTCTTCTTGTTGAGGAGGACTTTCAGGTCACTGGTGATCCAGGGTTTACTGTTAGGGAAGCAGCGTACGGTCTTGGCTGGCAGGGTGGTCTGCTCACAGAATTTTGTGTATTCTGTGATGCAGTCCGTCAGCTTGCTTCATTTTGAAAAATTGCTAGATGACTTCCATCTCTGCTTATTTCCGGCACTTGAATCTGTCAATTTTCATGCCCGTCCTTTAAATGAACATGTCAATCTAACCCCTGCCAAAACGAACAGAAAACAAACATCTCTGGAGAGGTAGAGACTCAATGCTGAGAGAGAAGAAGACTCCAAAAGTGCCGACAAAAAAATGGATTCAAAAGAAAATACCAAGACTCCTACTTGAGTTATGAGTTTATTGAAACGGGTGAGTCACATGCTCCAAACACACTGTGTATAATATGTGGCGACCGGCTGTCCAATGAGGCCATGAAACTTTCAAAACTGCTTCGCGATATAGAGACCAAACATCGTGCATTAAAAGAAAAGAGCTTTGAGTCTTTTGAAAGAAAAAAACGTGAACATGAAGATCAAAAGCAATAATTGAAGGCCAGTACATCAGGAAATGTAGCAGCACTGAAAGCATCATATTCAGTAGCTAATCGTATTGCTAAAGCTAAAAAGCTTTTTACTATTGGTGAGGAACTGATCCTGTCTGTCGCCAAGGACATTTGCCATAAAGTTTTCGGAGAGGCTGCAGTTCAAAAGATGGCACAGGTTTCTCTTTTGGTGAGCACCATATTTAGACGAATTGATGAAATGTCAGAGGACATTGAGGAACAATTATTGGAGAGGATTTATGGAGAGGATTTATGAGTCACAGTGGTATGCAATCCAGGTTGACGAGTCCACCAAAGCTGACAACAAGGCAACAGTGCTTGTTGTTGTGTGATATATAGAGTCATGGAAAAAATTATTTGACTACTTTTGTTTTCTTCAATTTCTAGTTAATTTTAATGCCTGGTACCACTAAAGATATATTACCTAAAGAATACAATGAGCACAACAAAAACATGCAGCTGATTACTGAATACTTTATGTCCTATTTGACATGCTTAAGCTTAATTGTATTCCTAGAGTATATAAGAGGCCATTTCATGTCATAAGCAGCACCACACATGCAAAGGCCTAGAGCGGTTTCCTGCTTACATTCAAGCCATAGCACAACTCAGAAGTTGTCAGCTCTCGCATAATGCCTAAAACAAAAAAAATATGTGAAGCCACAAAAACAGCCATCTTGGCACTGCTGGAAATTGGCATAAGTGAGAGACAAGTAGCAAAAAACCTAAAGATCTCCAAGACAGCCATTCATTACACCAAGAAAAAACAAGCCGAACATGGTACTATCAAATTGCTGGTCACAGGAGGAAATGTCTTTCTACTGCAGGATATGACCGTGCACGCATCCGTTCATGTGTCAGTAATCATCGTCAGATCTCCAGGGACCTTACAAATGAGTCGGCACTGTTGAGAAATGTGACTTGGGACAGTTCGAAGCCAACTTCTTGAAGCTGGTCTGAAGTCACACAGGGCATGGATCAAGATAATCAATGAAAAGCAGGGGATCATAAGGATTGGACTGTCCATGATTGGGCTAAGGTTCGCTTCAGAAATGATTCCAACTTTCAGTTGAAGCCCACTCCAGCCAACTTGCTGACTAGGAGGAAGCCTGTGGAAGGCCGCCTTACCCTTACAGTAAAACATGGGGGTGGATCAGTGACAATCTGGGGTTGTTTCGGTATGGGTGGAAATGGGCAAATGCAACTGTGTGAAGGGTGAATGAACCAGGTCATGTATAGGGCTACTCTTGAAAACAGTCTTCTTCCATCAGCTAGAAAACTCTTTCCTGCCTCAGATGATTGAATGGAACAAGACAATGTCCCTTGTCACACAGCAAGGTCAGTTAAAGCCTGGATGGAAATCCAGAACATTCGAACCATGCCTTGGCCTGCTCAATCACCAGATCTCAATCCAATTGAAAATTCTGCAATTCTACAATTTCATTTTGCAGACACTTTTATCCAAAGCAACATACATCTGAGAGCGGATATAACACAAGTAAGGATCAAGTCAGGAGAAATGATCTGGTTAAGTGCCGTAGAACAAGTTCAAGTGTGACAGGACGTTGATGCCAATAGCAGGCTGTGTGGGAGGTAATAGCAAAGTTTTCATTTATTTATTTTTTGTTTGTTTGTTTTCAGTCTGTCAAGTGCAAAGGTGTTCAGTGAAAAGCTGGGTCTTTAGTCATTTCTTAAAGACTGAGAAGGAATCAGCAGATTCAACAGTTTGGTAACTCATTCCACCACCAGGGAATCCCAGAGGAGAAGAGTCTACCTATTGACAGTCTTAGAGAGGTTGAGTTGAAGATGGCATTTTTTCACCCATGCCAAGATGTCTGCAAGGCATGATGAGAGCCGGGCAGAGACTGTGTGTTCGTCCGGGGGTAACAACAG